CACATGACGAGACGTACATACAGTACATTTTGTTATGTTTACTATGTTTTTGTTATGTTTAAGTCATATGAAACAACATAACAGCAAATAAGCGTCAGATGACGTGGCGTGCGGTCTCTGGGGAATAAAATATTACTTGTTTGTACATTACTTCTGTGGTTTATTTATAAGTATAGGAACCTCAGCCTAATATATTTATTTTGTCTTTAATTAAAGTGAAAAATGCAATTACTACATAAAATTTTCGTATGCAAATGTAATGTGATTTCACAAAATTTCACAAGAATCCGTTAAGAAGATCCGCTTCTTGACGGATTCTAGTGAAATTTTGTGGGTATATTCAGTAGGTCTGAGAATAGGACTAAAATATTTTTCATACTCCTTAGTGATAAGGGTGGTCCAACCCATTGTCTTTTCATTTTGTTGATAAATATTATTATCTTAACTCACTTATGACTTACTTTACTTAATTCTGATTCTGACTTAAAAGTCATACATACAACCTAAATTTTCATCCTACATTTCATTCATAATACCGATATTAGTACATTAATAATGAACTACTCTCGGCGGTCGACAACTGATTAATTTATATGGCAAAACAACATTTGCCGGGTCAGCTACTAATATGTATATATAATGCTGTTCCGCAAGACTTCTTAGTCCTGGGGAATAGGCTACGGGCGTCACGTGACGACGTGGTGTCCATATACTGTTCGATAGATGGGCGGTAAAAAATATAATATTCTTTGGAACTTTGTGCTTTTACACAGTCGGTTAAAACAATTAAGACAGCATCCCGAAGTGTACGCCAAGGGTCAATATACGAACTGAGCGCTCCTTACTCTTTGTGGACGAATGCAATTGGGCGTTCGTTAGTGTTGTCTCAACTGAACTGGTTTCTTACGCAATTATTACGAGCTAGATTACGGCATGGAACCATTTAGTTCATATTTATTATATGCCAGTATTATTATTTTTTATCAGTATCGAAATTTTTTTTTTTCTTTTAAAGCATCTGCTTTTTCGTGCGTGAATTACAAGTTTGAACGTTATTAAAGTTCTATTTTTAAAAATTGTATTTACGTTTAGTGTACCAATGGGATGAAAATGTGTATAATGTAATTTTATTAATTTATTTAATTCTTAGACATTATCTTAATATATTGTTGCACATTTCTTCTACAAAACTTTAGTTAAGCCAAGTTTTTACCTCTCCTATCCATGTAATTTATGTTTAGAAAATAATATATATATATATATATATATACCCAAGAAGGTTTAGAAATTTCGTTTCGTATATAGTGGGTCTATATAAGTTTCAGTAATGTTTATTATCTCAATTAGCGCAAAATATTGATATCCACTAACTGAACTCGGTTTCTGCAGTGCACCTCCATTTTATGTAATATGATCTGACAAATGGAAACAATAAATTATAGCTAAGGAGAAATAATAAAACAAGTAACATTTCATTGCTGCAATATAATTTATAAATATTTAATAATAATACATTTATTGTTACAGTGATAGATTTTAAATTATTATTACTAATCGAAGTTAACTTTTTAAACAATTTAATAGGCATAGACCTAAGAACAATAAATCATTTAGGCACCAATACATCAAGACAATAAAAAAAATTCAAAGTCTCTAAAAATTTATTTTTGGCAAATATACTCTGTGGCAAGCCGCTAAAAGAGAAGAAAATACTTCATTAGTTTATATCAATCAATTTATTTATTTCGTATTCAGTTATTGTTCTTAGGGATATGGCACAAAGAATGGCAGTGAACTGAAAAAGAAAAAAAAGAGGTTAACTTTTTTTTTCTTTTTCAGTTCACTGGCAAAACTGTTATCTTAAACTGTCTAAATTGGTAGTTTTTTTATAACAATATCAAACTCGAAATATCAGTCATCCATTACACGACGGTCTCGGTGGTCTAGCGGTTTAGCGCATCTCGCTTCCGATAGTCGCGAATTCGATTCTTCGCATACATACACACATTCATGAGTACTATTGCTCGTATTAGGCTCAGTGTTTTATATGTATAGTAAAGTACCAAAAAATATGTGTTTAGGTATTTCTATCAGTTGTCTAGTTCTTATAACACAAACTCTGCTTAGTTTAGGTCTAGATGGCGCTGTATGAATCATCCTAAGATTTACGATTGACAATTCTCAGAACAATATAATTAATTTCAACCCTATAACAAGACTATATAATGGTTAAAGTACAGTGCAAAACACTTTTAACGGCACTGATGCTAATCCGCGTATATTTAATGAATCTATATTGCCTTTAATTCCACAATGTAGGAGACTACGAATATCTTGCTCAACCCTGGTTTAAACACCTGGTTTACCCCTCTATCTGACGTATTGGCTTTTCAAATAGATGAATGATGCACCCGCCCGTTCTATGGGTACGCCAGCGGGGCACTAGTAGAACATAATAGAATGAGGATCAAGTCAGATCAGTTAGCTCATCGTGGCGAATTCACCAATTTACCACGATGGTTACCAGGGGGAACCGCGAGGAGGTCGAACTGACATGGTACATTACTAGCAATCGGGCTAATGGTCCCCATTACTAACAATCCCTTCCCCCCACGAAATAGGAATACCACTGATGGAACACAACGACATGATGGCGCTAGATGGCGTTGTTGTATAATATATAGGCATCGATTCCAATTTACCATTTGGTGGGCCATCACCTTGTTTGCATTTACAGTTACATAAAAACATGTGTTACATTGATCAACTCAATTCATATCATAATCGACAATACAGACAACTGCCAGTCGAATATCACAGCAAAAATAATATTATATAGTAATACTAAACTAATGTTATAAAGCCGAATGTTTCTGTCTGCCTCTCATATCATTTTCACGGCTAAACAGATCTTAATATAATCTGAAGTGAGGATAGATTGTACCATGTGGAGGGACACAGACTAAATTTACTGTTGGAAAAATGCTGACGAAATTCCGGACTTGCTAGTAGAAAACAAACAATACAAACTTCAATACGCTATCTATCTATCTATCTATATCTATCTATCTATTTCACTTTGAACATGATGGTTTCGCTTAATTCATATTACATGGTAATATTCTCTCATGTTACATACTAATATTCTCCAATGTCACATGGTAATATTGCCTCACATTACATAGTAATATCTCCCATGTCACATGGTAATATTGCCTCACATTACATAGTAATATCTCCCATGTTACATAGTAATATTGCCTCACATTACATAGTAATATGTATTTTTCAATTGCGGTATTCCATCATACATAAATTGGTAATAATAATCAATTTCCAAGAACTTGTTTTAATAATTCGATCGAAATACTGTACTGTGTACTTATTTGATTACCAGTTACTTTAGCCTTACTTGAATATTGTAGCCAAATAAATACATATATTGAATAATATATATCATTATTTTAATTACTAATTATTCAGTTAGTAAATTAATTTATACTAATATGTTTTCCTCTATTACGCGCATTTAGCCTCTTATTAGGTTTACTAACTAATTAGACTAATAAATAATACTGTATAATAAAATTAATACTGAAATAATTTTGAATAATCTTCTATGGTCCATCATACCCGGGATTATGAAGATGAAATATTTTTATTAGTGCATTGATACACTGGAATCATTTATTCAAATAAACTTACATTGAAGCACTTTTGAATAGTCATCACATTTTTTTTAATCTACCGCTCATTCGGAAAGCTGTCTCATCACAAGAAGGACTGGCCCTACAAGCAGCACCCGTTCACGAGTATGACGGATGAGCCAACCATCACTGCGCTCGACCATATTTTAGGGAGCCCAATGACCCGGCCCACCACGCCGTCACAAGTCTGGACATTTTAGTGAGCATGACTACTCAAAACACCAGACCACGTAATAGCTACTCACATTTGCCAGCTGATAGTTATAGTATTCACATTTTACATAAGAATGCATGCTGCAATCAATACAAAAACCGCTACGCTTTCATATTTCTAAAATAATTAAATCAAGAAAGCAATGAGATAAATAAATTATAACGTTGTGTGCTAATAAACTAATTATTTACTTGATATATTGTCATCTATGAATTTGTCTATCCTGTAATAGGCTTTCTTACACAAAAATTGTTTAATATAAGATTTGAATTATCTCTCTGTCAGATTTAGTGCAGATACTGGCTATGCAACTACTATCGAACTAACGTACGAACTCCGATTGTCCCACTTGCTATACCGCATTATCTCTTATTGTTCAAAGCAGGGATGTTAGGAAGCTCCGTAACCGTAACCGAAACTATCGGATATCCGATATAAAAAAATATTCGTAACCGTAACCGAATCCGAAATAAAAGTTCCGAATAATATCGGATAGGGACGGAGCCTAATTGAGATATGTTACGTAGCAATTTTATTAGCTATTTGTATTTTACTTTTGAAACTAACGGATAATCCGAAATACTTTTATATCCGCATCCGTATCCGGTATAATAATCATTCCTATATCCGAAACCTATACCTATCCGATATTTCATATACATAACATACCTGGTTCATAGACAGTGAACGCTTTTAAAGAGACTAATTCAGTCAGTGAGCAAGAATATGTGAATCTATTATAGCAGATTATACATATTCTCATTCACTAATGTGTCCGTAAAACTCGATTACGAATATTCTCACTCACTGATATTCTGTAGCTCTATTAAATTCAATTCTCAGGTCTTGTCAATTTAATACTTAAATCGCTCCTATTTTTTCACTAGTTAATTTTAAACTTTCGTGTTTAATATACTTTATTTAAATTATTAACCGGGTCTTAAAATTTAAATTATTAACGTCGAGAGAGGTTTTATTTGCCATAAAATTATTCGTGTTAAGACCCGGTTAATAATTTAAATAATGTATTTTTTCATTGTCAATTTCCGCCAATATTAATATTATTCGTAAATATTATTCGTAAGTAATATAATAAAATCTAATCACTTATTATAATCTATACAAATGTACCCACCATATGGAAATATAACCATTTAGACTAGCATTACTTTGACCTAAATTCATAAATAAGAGTAAGTCATTTCTGAATTGAGAATTACATAGGTAAGTGTAGTTCAATTAAGGTTGCAACTTTAGATACTCAGTTCCAATAGAAATTACAAAAATATAAACAAAGAGGTCATTCTGACAATAGATGATCTAGTGATGCCCATAGTCGTTCGAATCAAAAACCAATAAACGTATTGAATCCATCGAATGTTTCGATTTATATCACTAAATTAAATATATATCATTACAAATACGTTAATGTGACTATGTAACGTCAAATGTAAATGTGGAATATAAGAATAATAGAATAATAATTTATAAAATAACTCGTTTATTAATAATAAAGATATTAAGCGAAGAATAAATACAAGATTATTCTAAAATATCAGTAATTATTAGTCTTATATATGCGATTATTAAGATTTCTATTGAGTGATCTTTTAAGATCCTACCTAATAGAAATACGCCAATCTATACATCTATACATATAAATAAAATTGGAGTGTCTGTTTGTAATATTGAAATAACGGTTTTTTACATGCATATGAATATAAATACGATACATATACCAAATTAACATTGTTACAATTTTTGTCTGTCCGTCTGTCGGTCTGTTTGTTCCGGCTAATCTCTGAAATTGGTGGTCCGATTTTGACGGGACTTTTTTTGGCAGGTAGCTGAAGTAATAAGGAGTAACTTATGCTACTTTTATTTTCCACGCGGACGAAGTCGCGGGAACAGCTAGTAATCTATATAAATCAAATATACGCGAGTAATTTAATTTCGTCGAAACTACAATATATCTGACGGAATTCTCAATACAGAAATTTTACCAACATTAATAATAAATTACAATTTATACCTATATATCCACCGCTCACAGCCAAAATACCCACAAATGATTATATTCATAATATTTAATTTCTCACTAAATATATTCTGTTTACGTAGCCTTCTTGGTATCTCTTAGAGGTAACGTCTCATCATTGTACTCATGTCTAGCCATCGTTATTGACTCTGCAATAGTTTCTTGGGGCGGCTCATGATCATACTGCATTGTACCCTTATATATTGGCTCTGCACCACTTTTATGGGGTGGTACGTGATCAAGCCTATCTATTTCGTACAACTCCTCACCTAATGTCGTGTACAGCTCCCTGTAAGTGATTAAAATTGAATTACAATTATAGTGTCTCATTTTGTCTGTAACAGCATGAGTTAGGTGATAAGATCGCCTTTTGTTATGTACATATATGCAATTTGTAGCCTATGTGTTATACTAATGTGTAAACTATATTACTGTAAAGTTTCATCAAAATCCGTTCTGTATTTTTTGTGTGAAAGAGTAACAAACATCCATCTGTACTGACAAACTTTCACGTTTATATTAGTAAGATATTTGCATTGTCAGAGGTGTGGAAGATGTTAATGATGTTGATGTCGTGTTGAAGGCAACACTTGACATGACCACATTTTCATTTGAATCCAGAGTACCAGAAGGCAGGTCTACCGTGGTCTCTCGTATTAATTTGTTTAGATAGATAAATAGAAAGATAAAAAAGACACAACTACATTGGTCAATAAAATGCAATATAGATTGAGTAACTTAAATATGTTAACTTAATGTGTGTAACATTTAATATTGCTGTTTCCATCACTGTTTATTCTTCATGATATTAGTCAGTTCTTAGGTCAAACTAACAATGGATTTGATTTATCCATAATATCGGTTATAACCAATATGAATAAAGATATCACATTTTAATTAATTTAGACTATGACTATCTATATAACATAATAACTAGTTCCCGTTAATGCGGAAGAATGTTAACATTTTAAGAAATATGCTCAAAATACTCACTTGAACAAGAATCCTTGCATGTTCTTAGCTAAATAGTAGAGGAACAGCCAATCACCGAATTCACACCAGTTGATAACCCTATTCCCGTTATAGGGATCGAAATTGGACACCACCTGGCTGAAGACCAAGTTGTTGAACTTATGTGAACGACGGTACAGGAAAAATGACAACGCGCGCCAAATGACAGCTGTAAGCAATAGATAGATAGTATATTAGCCTGAAGATTCAATAGCTTACGGTATAAGAACAACCTAGTTTTGCCCAGATGCCGTAGAAACGGTTTATAATATATGGCAATTGCGTAAGGTTTTCCGAAAGACCAGTCTGTCCAAAATTTCAAAGATTCAAAAGTTGTATAAAACACTATCTTTGCAAAAATACGATAATTACAAAATTGAAAATTTTCGGTTTCTATGTTGATTGTCGCACGCCTCCTCCTTGTTAATGTGTTGTGTATATTAGTTGCGACGTGGGTGAATAGTTAGTCAGTAATTCTCACTTGAAAGTCCAGACGGTGGCGAAATGAGACGGGTCTTTGAGCTTCCTAAAATATGGTTAAGCGCAATGATGGTTGGCTCATTCGTTATACTCATGAACAAGTGCTGCTAGGGTTTTTATATTGAATTAATGTTTTTATTTAATTAGTGCCGTACATATTTTGGAGAATTAATTAATTCTATTCTATTCTCTTCTTCTATCCCAGGAAAACATTAATACTTATACTAGCGCGCGCGTGACGCGTAATTTATACATACACTAGCTGATCCGCGCAACTTTGTCTCCATCACACTTATCATTGTATTTCGCCCAATTTACATAGTTACTATTTAATATATAGCCTATATATTATTCGTATATATAAGACGTATTACTGTAAAGTCTCATCAGAATCCGTTCAGTAGTTTTTCCGTGAAATTGTAACAAACATCCATTCATACTCGCAAAGCATTGCGTTTATAATATTATTAGGATGTACCAGTATAGACTTACCAAGCACAGACGCGATGAACAAAAATAGTAGCCAGAACCACAGTATCACGTATATCTTCTCGTGTACGATATTGAGTGCCATCACACACAGCGCGTCGTGTTGCTGTATCGTGCCGCTCGGCCCGTACTTGTGGAACAGGCATTTAGTTACCTACAGACAAACATTCAATGTTATTACCACAAACTCAAGGCACAAACACATGTTTTGCTGCAAATTGCGGGCAAAAACAACTTTGTTCAAAATAGAAATAAGATTTATTCAAATAGGCATTTTTGAATAGTCATATGTTTTTATTCTACCACTCAATCAGAACGCAGACTCATCACAAGAAGAATGAGCAAGAAACTTAAAAATCAGTAATCTCCATTCTTCTTTTAAATAAATATTTGAATAGATGCTTTAGCAAACTTCGAAATCTTCTGCTACCTGTTGAAACGTGGAAACCGACCAAGAGTCATGAATTGAAAAATTATCTATCTATCTAAACTATTCTAATGCCGTTTGATAAGGAAGAAGCAGATGATGATGTATTCTAAAGCCGTTTACTGCAACTGGCCGTTACAACTTCACTGAATGATAGCAAGACAGCACAAACCCGCGGAATAACTTACGTTAAGGCCAACTCCTGTCTGACGGATTGACCATAGTCTGAAACTTCGAAGGCACGAATACAATTGCGGATGTTATATGAATTATTATAATCTTCTTAAGTTAAATTTTTATGTTTACTTTGTTAGTTTAGAACTTAAAATGTGCTATCGTCGTCGTCGATCTAATATTAATTAATTGTATTAATTTACTGGTAAAATAGCAGAGAGGGTGGACTCACTTCCTCCACTGAGTTATAGAGCGTTTTGTCTCCTTCATTATTTTTAAATTATATTATTGTAAACAATTATATTCGTTTTTGTTTGAACAAATAAAGATGATTATTATTATCGAAATTTATCATGGCGCTTTGATACTGACTCTTTTGTTAACATTTCAGCATGAGTACTAAAGTGTGTTCTTTTATGTAACTGAAATGGACAAAAAGATTTACAGGAACAGCGCCATGGTATCTCGTCATCACGTGGTACGTGGTATCATATATAATATAATATAACATAAGATCGTGCTCCTTCCGATATGAGCGGATCTGCAATGAAACTACATATATAACAAACCTTAGGGAACACAGCCTCCAGGGGATCAGCAATCTCGTCCCAATCGTGAAAATTCATCACCTTGGGTCCTAATCCAATGAACTCACCATTGAGAAATAGATTTATCAACCAAATTTGAAATACTACATGGACAAGATTGGTTATCTCCATTGCTATCATCCACACAGACCATGTTCGTGAAATTTTTAACCTGGAAATCAATTTATTTATAACATTTATTATCTCATGTCCTTCAGATTTTAGATCAGATAGTACTATAATGATTTGGCGTATACATAACGTGACCCACTATTCTTTAATGCAAAACAGGACATTGGTTCATTTAGGTCAATTACTCAGGGGCTGGGTCGGACAACCTCCTAGGTAGGTCCCCCATCCCCGTGGACAAATTCTTCTTAGGGTTATTATTAGCATTGTGGCGAGTAGTCCGACGAAGGGGGGCGGCACAGACTGGGACAATTGGCCCAGGTGGGGCTCATCCCGACCGTTAAGCGTCGCGTTAGTGGCCTGCTCATGCTTATGACTCTACTCTTGTAGAACACGTGCGTGCGTAGCGAGCGCGGCTCTGTGTGGGCGGCAGTCTTAGGGGATTCAAGTCTTTTTAAACTTTCGTGTTTAAGGAAAATGTGAGATAGGTAAATACAACATTTATTATAGGGGGGAATTCTTCCCCCCTCAATTTGCGTTGTCATAGTCAAGATGTGTCTCGCTTGAATAGTGAAATAGATAGAAAAATTGCAGACATCGTAGTACTCCGGAATGGCGATTCATAAGCACGGGCGTCACATAACGTGATGCTTGCGGTAGTGTTCATGTATGTATGTATATATACGTCGGTTGCTGTTCACCATCAAGTGGATGGTCACCTTGAACTCACCTTCATATTCTTTACCTAAAAATAACAAGTTACCTAAAAATAATATCCTTTCGAATGAGAGCAATCTTATTTTCGATAGTTTTTCTCGATGGTATCGTATCTTTGTCGATTTTCATGTCCTCATCTTGAAATGCAAGACTTGCATATTGTAGGCCATCCACCAAAGCCTTGATTCTGCCTCCTGGAATAGTAGATATAAATATTTAATAAAACAAGCCTTCGTAGGTATTACGTGTCGACTTTCGGCTCTCTAGCCGGGCGAAATAACATCAACTCGTAAAAGCCACTAACCATAAATAACAATCAATTGAGTTTCTTGCCAAAATCTATATACCAACTGACTGTAACGTTCATAAGCGGCTAAAATGTCCTACATGAATAAATGATTTTTGAATTTGAATTGAATTTGAATTTGAATTTGAACTACTTCAAATAACCATGAAACAAATTCGGAATAATTCCTTACATTCATATGCATACTGTATCAACCCTTTACCTCCCCACTGCTAGCATTTTATTATCAAGAAGAGACAAGAAGACAAGAACAGGCTGCATTATCAGTATCCTGCCTTATTACCTGTTTTCCTTCTCTCACATTGATGTATTTGTGATTTTATGAAAAGGATAGAAGATATTAAAAAAAATACATTTTATATTCTATATTTCTATGTATATATTATTCTATATATGCCTACGCCACCACCACAGCCGTTTCCGGGGACATCCAGAACATATACATATGTATAATATAATTTACATGTATTTTACATATTTATAAATCTGAAACGATTTTGATGATGTTTGAAATGTATTTGATTATCAGTGATACGTGTACTCAATTTAATGACATTTACCTTCGTTGTTGTAACAATATCTTCATTAGAAAAAAAAACGGATTTGATGAACATTCTTGAAATCCACAGAGTAATCAGATTTAGATAAATGATTGGAAAGCCGAAATAAATAGCGAAAATGATAGGAGATGAACTATAAATAAGAAGAATGAAAAATTGACGATTATTACACGTTATTACGCTGGGTCTGCCGACGGAGTGACTCGGTCTCCCAAGAGTGTCGAATCTACATGCTGTAACACGGTTTAATTTATTAAGTTTGCCCCTTATTAAAAAAAACATGGTACATAGGTACTTTTATCTCACCTATTTGTATATCCAGCTTGCTTTACAAGCTGTGTTTCGGTTTCAATGGTGAGACATGGTAGTAAAATTACAGGGTCCGCAGAAAATAAGATCTTAGTCCTCAAAATGACAACGTATAAGGGGTTTCACAGAAATCACATAATCACGATAAGAGACAGTTTCCTTTGCCATCAGGCGGACCGTCAGCTTTGCCATTCCAATTACATACTTAGGCAACTATTAATAAAGTTACATATTAAATAATTGTATAGTTAAAATAAATAGTATGAATTAATTTAGATATATAAATTATACATATATGTATACATATAATACCATACATATTAATACATACAAAGATTGATTTGTTGAGAAACAATATATTCTATCTCTCTCACTCTCACACACACACACACACTGCAAGTAAATGATGATAAGCTTAAGTTAATACCTTATTTGATTGTCTTTTTATAGTTTGTAATTCCAAATATTGTGAATTGTAAGAGGAGAGAGGAGGAGGGTACCTAAAATACAAGTTTCTACTTAGTTTAGGTACTAGGGAACAATTTAAATTGTAAATATTGGATGCAAAATAAAAATTAATATTATTATTACTTTAAAAGAATGAACTATAGAAGTGTAAAATTATACTCAGCATTTAGTACTTGTACTCAGTACTAAATAATAATTTTAAATTTTTAACTTTCGCGTTTACACATTTTAATATAATGAAATGGGGTTTAACACGAATAATTTTATGGTAAATAAACTGACTCTGCTCGTGACCACGGCTAGTGCAACCCAGACGAAACGTCAAGAGAGGTAAATACCTTTATTTACCACAAATTTATTCATGTTAAAACCCTTTTAATTATATTAAAATAATAATTATAAATGTCAGTGTCATGGTGTGGATACTATATCAATTTAAGTTAGATTTCAATATGAGTTTTGGTGAGATAACAATATTACAAATCAGCCTCAAAACCAACTGACCTTCCTTTTTCTTCCATATATAATGAGGCATGTAGAAAGCAATTGACTGAAGGAAAAGTAGGAACGGCACCCACTGGTAATACTTGTGGTGGATGGTCTCGTCATTCTCCAATATAGGCCCCACTCCGGGATGAGGCAGAAGCCCGGTTTGAAGAAGGCTTTCATTGTAATGTCGAACCTGAGAAGAGTTATAAAATAATTAGCTGTGCCCGCGACGTCATTCGCGTGTTTGTCAAAAATACTTCTTATATATTTTTTGGGACACTTAAACCGATTAAGCGCACGCAACGGAAGCCCCCAAATATGAATTTCCCCGTTTTTGCAACATTTTTCTCTGATGCTTCGCTTCTATTGGTCGTAACGTAATGCTATATAATAATAATAATTAATAATAATAATATATAATTTTTTTGGTGGACATCACCATACCGCACGACGAGAACCTCGTGAAAGCCGAAACTGAGAAAAAGAGAAAGTATCTCGACCTGGCTCACGAGGTGACCGAAATGTGGGGGGTGGTGTCCACCGAAATCATTCCAATCGTTATGTCGGTGAACGGTCTTATCCCAACCAGTCTGGAACAACATCTCAGACGGTTGGGATTCCGGGGCGGCTCACTCCCGGGAAAGTTGCAGAAAGCGGTGCTGTTAGATTCTGCCCGCATTGTACGCCGGTTTCTCTCCCTGGGGCCCTGAACTCCGGCCGACTGTGCTTCTGCCGGGGGTATGTTGCCATCTCCTCTCCTTAAGAGGGGAGATGAGAATTTTTGGAAAAAAAAAATAATAATAACATTGAACTACAGAAATCCACTATATTGGATACGTGTTCAATAGTTAGGAAATTTTTAAACAGCCCAGTAAACAATATTTAAAAATTCAATTGTGTGAACATGTGACTTGGTGATATAAGCCCGTCCTTGTGATCACTATAAAACAACCGATATTTATATTGTGAAACGGTGGAAATAATAATAATAATAAACTTTATTCATAATTGTACGGTACAAATAAATATAGTTATCCCTGGCTTTCGATATAGGTGAACTTATGCCACGAAAGCCAGTTCCCTCCAATTGCAGTTGTGTGTATAGCTTATACAGCTTAAAGCCTTCCTCGTCACGTTGGGTTAACTGATCTGACTTCATGTTCATCCAATCATCCTCCACTGGTGCCCCGCCAGCGTAAACCGTACAGGCGAGTTTCCAATCAGCCTTCCTCGACAAATGGACTATCCAACACAAAATAATTTTTCAATTTGAACGAGTAGTTCCTAAAATTAGCACGTTCAAACAAACAAACTCTTCAGCTTTAAAATATTACTATAGATGTTAGTATAGATTAGCAATTTCCTTTGGCTTATGGCACATAAAATAAGCTCGGTCCAAATTTATCATATCATACATATTTTTCATTTCCTGTTCTACCCACTTTGGGGATGAAATGGTTTACGTTTACTTCAAGATCCTAAAATATCCTAAGATATAAAAGATGAAAGTCTTTGTTAAATGTTACTTATGTACAATATTCACTCAAAGGATGAAATCGTCTACAAAATACCATGTACATGGAACCTGCAGTTACTCCTTCATTCGCCTTCGCAGTGATAAAGTATAATAAGCAATTGCGATGCATTGCGATAAAATAAACTGGAGCATTTATTCGTTCGTTTAGTAACAAGTTTATCGTACTATAAAAATATAGAAGTTAAGAAAATAATGAATAGATTAGAAATAATAGAGCACACGCACGCAGATAAGATAATACTCGTAATTTGGTAAAATCATTGGAGAAATTTATTCAATTTTATTAATATCACTGGGTTTTGGTGTATAATATAACGAAAAAATGTTTGCTCTTCCATCCACAAACCAAATAATATTAAAAAAAAGTTTAAATATGATTGTAGCTACCTTTTTAGAGTAGAGTAGTAGTCAACCTCAGACTCAAGAGTGATATTTTTTAGAGAAAATCGTAACTCTAGCATAGTATAAAGATAGGTGAACAAACAAACAGAGAGACACACTTTCGCGAGTTACAATATTAGTATGGATTATATAATTAAAGATGCTACATAGCTAACAATTGGGTCTTTAATAGCTATGTACCATCTCAGGTTAACCTTCACGCGGTCCTCCTCGAAGCCATCGTCGTTGATTTATATGTTCAAGCAGGACAAAGAGGTACGGAAAGAGAAAAGGCCGTCCAAAGAGCGGAGTAATCGCTAAATAGCGATCTCTTACAGGCAGCCTTTGAATAGCAGATAAGTGATTAGATGTGCATCTTATGGACGTGGGTGATACACGTACAACGATAAGGTGACGTCAAAGTGTAATATAATACATATAAAATATGTAGATATATTATACTTTAGTAAATTCCATAGTGGTTAGGGAGAACTATTTAATGTACTTAGAGGCAAAAAAGAATAGATAAGAAACTCTGGTGTTACTCTCTTCAAATGCGAGATGTAGAAAAAAATCTTGCTTAAATTAAATTAGAGAGAATGTAATAACGACGAATATATTTGATTAGCAGCCGTAACCTGAACAGGCTAATCCCAAAAAACAGATGAGACATCATGATAAGAACACTCAAGAATATATAGCTGGCTCGTCCATTATATTCTTTAAGAATAGGATGGACGAACCAGCTATCTATCGTTGTAATCATAAAGACAGAATCATCATCACTAGCCCACCACGCTATCACAAGTTTAGACTGTACAGCCCTTTTTTTGACTTGGAGGAAATCCCTCATGGAAACCCGCTCACCCCGGGGGAGGCAAGCGGGTACTGTGAGACTCCTACTCACTAAAAACTCCAAGATGTCCCTCGCCCAACGCCTATCCAGGAGTCGCGGGATCGATATCAATGAACCGCAACTCCGACGGCGGTGGCATCTCTGCGGGTTCCCGAGCGGATACAGTCTAGTACAACTGTTTCAAGTTACTTCATCTATCTAACATTGTAGTCATAAAGGTAGAATCATCATCAGCGCCCACCACGCTGTCACAAGTTTAGACTGTACAGCTAGTATAATACAACTGCTTCAAGTTACTACACTACTCCATGCTATAATACGGTTCTTACAATTCAAGGTTTATTCTATACTCGGTTCTCTCTGTCCCATAATGGCTGAATGAACAAAGAGTTGTTACCAAATGAAGACTGTTACAAATGCTTACAAAATTAGCACGTAGAGGGCAGTGTCCCACATATTTATCCTAGATTGTAAAAGCTGTTTAGCAACAGGAAGATATTAGAAATATTTCAGTTTGAATGGTAATTTTTTTCAATGCCATCAATCATGGTTGAATAATACTCCATAACACCGATAATGGTGACTCGAGGTATGGTTTTTAGTGTAAATACCACACTGTCCACTCCCCTAACGGATGGGATGGATTGGATGAAGATTTTTCCACGCGTTGAATATATTAATTCCAAAACCTATACACTAATAATGTTTGGAGACATCTTTCCAAGAGGTGAGACATAACTCTACTCGTATTCCAGTGGCATAAAAACTAACTTACAATAGTAAATGTTGCCATGAAGAAACAATATGTTTGTATAACTTTTTCTGGCACTCCAGCCCCTGATATGCACCTAATATGTTCTCCAAATTGCTCTCTAGCGCAGACCAAGATCACAAAAGCTATCAGCAGTGTCACAGTGAATTGATAATGTAATTTGAACACGAAATTCTCTATTTTCGGCTTCTTAAAGTTAAACTTTAAGCGGGGCACTAAAGTTGATACGGTAGAGGGCAACATTTTGCCTTCTGTTTGATTTGTAACTGCACCCTGAAACAATGGCAAAAATTCCATTTAATTAACTCTAGTAATTATCCCACTAACTACATTCTATGCTACATTACGTTGACTTGACTGGAGTAGTTCTGTTAGAAACAAGTCGCGAATTATAATTACCTATTTTTAATATTCTTTAGGAGAAGTTCTGTTCAGGTTTTTGTCTGTAATCTCTGGGAAAAACAAGTACTTTAAGTACTCTCTTTTTACAAGTCACTTTTTTTCCTTTCTGTCTGTTATCTAGTCTATAATAACTATAGATTAGTTACTATAGACTACAGGCGTGATAATAAGAATTCCATATCAATATAAATATAACAGAATTCCCAGTAACGAGCTAGTGTAACATAATGCTTATTTATTTAATCGAATTAGGTGTTAGAATAGAATAGAAAATCATTTATTCAAGTAAACTTAATTTAAGCACTTTTGAATAGTCATTACAATTTGTTTTTATTTTGCGGAAGAACGAGCCATTGTGTGTTGCTCTTTTAAATAATCTTGTAAGTTTACATTTACAAGTCGAAATGTGTGAATACAAACTACCAACATATTTTTTGGGTTATTTTTTTAAATCAGTCGTACTGATTCCGCAGCACTCGTTCACGATATGACGGATATACTGCGCTCGAATTAAACAAAATAATATAAATCTATTAAACCACGTCACAGCTAAAAAAGTTATTTTGCGGTAGTCCATTTCACTACTAAATGCAATATTATTAATCAAATATTGTAGCCAAAATAATATAAGTCATAGTCCACAGTCCATAACTAATCTATCCAGGTTAATATAAATATAACAGAATTCCGAGTAACGAGAGTTTCGTATCGTGCAACAATCTCCACTTACATGTAATTTATAATCGGTAGAATTTACAGCGACCTAATTACTCAAGTAATAATGTATATATTTAACTGTTATCAATGATAATAGAAACTTAACGCATATTGACACAGTACTTGTAATTAAGTACTGTTTCAAATCAGTAAAACAATTCACTGTGTAAGTTATTTTATTGACGTGTAAGTGTGCAGTTAGTATTTATATAATAATAATAATAATCATCTCAGGACAATTCACACAGCGCCATCTACACCCAAGTTAAGTTAGCTAAAGCTTCTGTTATGGATACTAGACAACTGATACAAATACATAGACATTATTATTCGTAAATGTAGTACATATATATTATACATAGAAAATACCCAGACCGATACAAACAATCATACTCATGAATACAAATGTATGTGCCATGCGAGGAATCGAACCCGCGACCATCGGACATAAAGCGGTGTCCTAGATCGCTAGACCACCGAGGTCGTCGTCGCATTATATTTTATTTTCTATATATGTTAGTCCTAAAGGTATATATAATTTGGGCCAATATTGTTAAATAATAATAATATTTAAATTGCCTGAAATAAATAAATTAAAGAAAAAATATTTTTACACTTTTTATGTAAATCATAATCTATACATATAAATAAAATTGAAGTGTCTGTTTATAATATTGATACAACCGTTTTTTACTAAAATAAAATACGGCACATAATTTATTATTTACGAAAAATGTATCGATTTATTTGTATCAGTTATTTAATGCCTATAACACAATCTTTAGCTAGCTTAACTTGGGACTAGATGGCGCTGTGTTAATTGACCACGGTTATTTATTTATATACTTATAAAAACACCACAAATTCAATCAACCATATTTAATCTGAACAAACATATATTAACAGTGTATTAAAGTATCACTGATTAATCGATTACTGACAGTTATATGACTATCGTATTATTATATACCACGTCCACGTATGAGTAACAGAAAAAAATTGTTATATAGAATTTTTGTCTGTTCAAATTTATTTATTTACTTTACGTTACCAAATTATTTATCCGTGATTAAGTTCGTTTACTAATGCCCTAAAACTGTGGTAACGTGTCTTTAAATTTATTATTATTATTTACTAGCTACTCGCCCCGGCTTCGCCCGGGTGTACATGTGTAGAACCCTTCCTCTAGAATCTCTCTTTCTATTAAAAAAAGCGATTCCAAATCCGTTGCGTGGTTTTAAAGATTTAAGCATACATAAGGTAAAACACCGACAGCGAATTTATTTTATACTATGTAATTATTTATTAAAAATTTAATGCACAAATACATAACTAAAGCTGCATATGGCGGACTTAATACCTTTAGGTATTTTTAAAATTTAGTATATGTGTCACTCTAATAAATTTACAAAAAAAAAATACGGGTACGAAGTTAAAAATTCTTCCCGTCATTCAATACAAATGTTTAAAAATAAAATTTCTCGTGCCACAATGTTAGTTACCATACTCCTCAGAAACTTGACAGATTTTTATGAAATTTATTCAGTAGGTCTGAGAATCGGCTGCTATCTATTTTTCACCCCTAAGTGATAAATGTTGTCTACCGCCAAAATGTTTTATTTAATTTTGGAAAAACAAAACTTATTTTTCTATAATGTGACATAAAAAAATGCATACAACCCTAAATTTTCACCCTTCTATCACTAACCCTTATTTTTTTAACAGCGATTTTAATTTAGATGGCAATACCATGTTTGCAGGATCAGCTAGTGATTATGTAATTATTTCATAACTTACGATTAGATTTAGGTAAACATTCAGAGAATATATTGATAATAGATTAATCTTATCTACTGACCTGTAGCTAAACACTTTTAATTAATCTGGTTACTAAATTGGTAAAGATTTGATTCTTACTGACGACCACAACACTGCAATGTACCACACATAATAGACGTAACGCTGGCAATAGATAAGATATCTTTGAAATGATAATTGTACAGTAGATACTGGGATTCGATGTCTTCTTGCCGCCGAGGTGATAGTGAGATTAAATGCTGTAAATTTGACCCCTTCACCGTATGTATGGCCGAAAATCAATAGCTTTCGAGATATTTGAATTTTAAAGTTTTTTGACAAATTCGGCAATTCAAGGCCAATTAAAAAAACTACATTGCAAATCAGGTTTTTAGGTATTTATTTTGTGATTCTTAAACACTAGCTGTGTTACACCCATAAAAAAATACACTATATTAAAATTTAAATTTATGAGCAATTCAGTAATTTACACTTTTGGTAATTCATATGTTATGTTGTAAACAACTTTGCTAATCATACAGAATCTCTAGAATAAATTGCCCATTTAATCAATTATCTAAAATTGTATTAATAATAATATCAGAAACAGGAAATAAAAAAAAGGATAAGTATTACTTGAAGTCCAAGTTAAGTAATAATAATGTGCATTTGTCTAAACAAGTTTACTATTGCTTAGTTGAAGGTATTTTTGTACCTGCCTTTGGTTAATAACGCGTAATAATGATAAAATAGTTAGACAGTTTGCTCAAAATGATCTCCTCAATTACGAATGCAAGCCCGGATTCTTTTTGACTTCGATTTTTGTCACTCTTGATGAAAAATTTTTCTCTCATTTGTTCGGCTACATTTATTATACGCTCTCCATTTATTATAGTTTCTTCAGCAGAGTTAAACAAACTATGAATGTGGTTGGTTATGAGATCAGAAGAAGGCCGAAAAAGATGGATGGACTGTGTGAAAGATAACATGTCAAGAAAGGGAGTAAATAACGAGATCACTGCAAACAGGGGTGAATGGAGAAAAAAACATATTACGCCGACCTTAAATGAATGGGAGAAGGAAGAAGAAGAAGAACCATCACAGTCCAGGTGCATTAAAAAGAGATGGAATCAATTGAAGTTGCTCGATTGAGCATGTACGATCCGCTACTGACTACAACTTTCATATGAGTCTGCTAGTGCAGCTTTAAATACACGTTGTAGTTTACATTTTACTGCAATTCTAGAGTAGCCAAAATCTTTTAGGAAATTATCTAGAGATTTTGCAGGTATATATCTCGCTCACACATCGACCACATATGCTATATAATATTTATTTGTTTTTATTGCATGGTATTTAGGTATATTTGTATACTCCAACAACATTGTAATAATTTGTTTAAAATATTCTCTTCATTCCTACGCATTACGTGCCCATACCATAATAGATGATTACTTTTCAACTTCGTCTAATGTATTTGTCTTTATCTAGTCCATTCTTGTTACACCACATATCCATCTCAACATTCCCATTTCAGTTGCACGCAGGCGTCTTTCATGCGTCGCCTTTATGAACGAACACTCTGATCCATACAAGACAGCAGGCCGGATCATGGTCTTGTAAAATTTTGGTAATAATGAATTTATTGCAAATATACCACACTGGGCTACCCGACCCGCCTTTATCTTCGTCACGTCATACTCCACTGTTGCCATTTTCCACAAAACTAAGACGTATATAATGTGTCACACTGATCATGCACGAATATGTATATATAAAAACTTACCATTTTAGTCTGATTTCACAATTTAAACAATTAGAACAAACAATACAAATATAGGAACAATCTAAGCACAGGATAACGTTAAGGATCATACTGGTTAAGTAAGAGGTACGAAAAAAATTACATAGATTCATCATACCTTATCTATCGTGAGAGTGAGAACACAAATAGCTAGACAACTCTAAGCGAAAAAGAGAGACCAAAATTTTTTTAGTACTGTATACAAAAAAGGTCAATAAGATAATATTGTGTACGCTTATGATCAAGTAGGTCGTTGTTACCAGATGCCTAAATTAAAGAATGCACGTAATAATTTAGCAAATTACAGTATGTAATTTATAAAAACCTAATGTTTGACATAAACTAATATAACTTTATTTTTAAAAAACAGTTGTTTATGTAGATATACAACTGTTTTGTAAAAATATGGTGAAAATGAATTTTTGCACCATGCACCTGGTAAATATAGTGATGCTAAAAGGAGCATTAGGATTTCATTTTGAAGAATACATTAGTGGGAAAAAATAATGTTTTTTTTCTACTAATGTATTTATTCTTCAAAAAGAAAAGAAATCGCAATTCTGTTTTGGTTTCAATGTTGACTAGAAATAGAAATAGAAATAATCTTTATTCAAATAAACTTAATATAAGCACTTTTGAATAGTCAAGTTTTTTTATTCTACCGCTTATTCGGAATGCAGATTCATCACAAGAAGAATAAGCAAGAAACTTGTGTGTTGCTCTTTTAAATAAATTAAATAGACTTCAGTCTTAAGTAAGTATTATTAGCATGGGCGGGTCCAAAGCAGAGTTCCACATTAATTCGTTAAAATTAACTAGGTGAGCTGGCGAACTTAAGTTACAATTAAGTAAGTATGTTAGTTTACCATGCCATTTAAATGAATACTGTAAAACGGCATTAAAGGCACTAAACGGAGGAAACAGAATATTTGTAGCATTCCCAAATTTAAAAGCTCATTTATAGAAAGATTCTTTTGCTACCAAGGTAACCTCCAATACAAGAAAATAAATAAAATATTTATTAATATTAACTCCTTAACAAAAATTTTATGTAAAAAGTGTCTCAAAACCTGGCTACAGAAGCTAAGTTATGACGAAACAGAAAACTTTATTCTGTAAATACAAATTATACTTTAAATACTATAAAATGGTTTGATTACGTGGTTATCAGCATATAATAAGTTATTTATTTATTTATTATTTATCTGGCTTTATGTCTTATTATTATTTCCTCCATTTTTTTTATCGAATATGTAATATTATGTTAAGTAGTATGTATGATTTTGTGCTGTGTAAAAGTAAATGTTAATAAATGAAATAATATGCACCCTGGGAAGGTATGTGACATCTGAGATACAGTATAATTTTATACTAGTTCAGATGGCACAATTACACTTGTATGTTAAAATTATTGACTCTTATGTACAACTTAATTATGTAACACAACCTTTAACTGCAGTACATATTATTATTATATTATTAAATGTATTTCACAAACACTCTGTCAATTTTCCTTTAATAATGTTAAAACTTTCCTTGCCTTCTCTCTTCTCTTCCTTTCTCGTTCATTCTATTCTACTTCGTTCTATTACCACTGAACTATTCAAGCTATATGTACTCTATTCTTCTATGAAATGTTGAAATTGACAGCTAGGAAGAGTTTGTAAAAAGAAAACTGGAATTGCCACTTAATATAAATTGCAGTTTAAAACAGATTAATGGATTAAAAAAAATAATCTTTCGTTAACCGTATTTTGGTTCGCAAATCACTTATTTACCTAGATATGTATACTCTAAGCTTATTAACCTGTATACTCATACAAAGAGTATTGTTGTGGCCGCCTGGTTTACCAACTCACAATCAAAACGTTAACCGCAATTTGAAATTTTAAATATAGATTCCTTTAATAACGTAGACACCCAGTAGAAAGAATTTCCCGTAATTCCCCCTGGAACCGAAGATAATGAATTAGCTCGGGTAAAGCCATGTTTAACTGCTTTTGAGTAATTTAATTACCTACTAATTTGATTACTATTATATAACAATAATAAGTCAAGACAAATCACACGGTGAATCTAGTTCCAAGCTAAGCAGAGCCTGTGTTATGAGCACTGGACAACTGATATAAAAACATTGCTCATTTTTCATTCAATATTAAATTAATTATCTACACACTACGCCTCATCTCATGAAGTATGAAAGAACATGAGACAGACAAATGTTAGATAAACATAGATAAAGGAATCAATTGAGGTCACGATCTTAAATCTGTTACGAAATATTGTTTATTTAACATAAATGTCTGTATACATAAAAAATGGGCGCCATTATTACACATCCATATGTATAGTAATAAAATATAATATTTACTAATATTACCAAGTTACTACGTAATTCCATTCATGTAGAATAGAATAGAATTGAATTGAAGATCATTTATTAAAATGAACTTAATTTAAACACTTTTAAATAGTCATAACATTTTTTTTTAATCTATCGCTCATTCGGAAATCTGTCTCATCACAAGAAGAACGAGGAAGAAACTTGTGTGTTGCTCTTTTAAATAATCCTTGTAAGTTCACATTTTACAATTCTAAACGTATAAATATATATATATAGAAGATGGACTTGTCAATATGCAAGTCCATCTTCTTTGGAATCTTCTGATTTATAAAGATTTCAGTGTCTCCAAGATTTTCACGATGATAATATTTATTCTATTAACTCTTTCTTGTTTCTTACATGTCAAAACCTTTCATATCCAACCAGCTCTTAGAACGCATTGTTTAAAAATGCAACAGGCAAGATTCTTGCTTATTCATCAATTATGTTCCGCTGAATCTGCATTTCAAATGAGTCGTAGAATAAAAAAATATTTCAAAATGTTTACTTTAAAATTATTATATTATCTTTAAATAAACTAGTCCCCATTAGATGGTTAGTGACTTAAATAATTAAATGATTTCATCTTTAATATTTATTTAGGTCTGAACTATTTCCTTGAACAGTACATTTTTGGTAACTTTTGGATGGTTTCAAGCACTAAAGAAATAGATGTAATCGTTATTCAAATAGTCAGGCATTAAACTCGTAAAACATAAGTAATAACTATTCAAAAGTACTTAAATGTAGCACTTAAAAGAAAATAGATAACCTAAATAAATATTAAAGATAAATTCATTGAACTATTTAAATCACTTACCATCTAATAGAATAGAATAGAAATAGAATAGAAAATATTTTTTTTAAAGCTACCGCTTATTCGGATAGCTGTCTCATCACAAGAAGAATAAGCAAGAAACTTGTACGTTGCTCTTAATAGAAACTAGAAGAAGCTCCATTGCTA